AGCATTTTTATGGTTACTCTGTGGATAGCAGGATTATTAACAGCTGTAACATTCTCTGAAGAGAGGTAGCCCAACCTTCATGGTACCAGCAATCTTTTAAGGAAGCACTCATAAATATAGTGTTTAAAACATTATTATAGTTAATATTAAAACAATATAAAGCAATAGTATAATCAGTATAGAAAAGCAGCAGTTAGAGGTAGGTAATTTGTTTTAAACCTAAACTTTATAATAATAGGTTAGGATTGATCTAGCAAATAGCAACTCTAGTAAAAACTCTTAGAATAAACCTTAAACATGATCTATTTGATACTAACCATTTTATAACTAACCAGTCAGTTATACTTCTATTTATTTTGAAGTTATGAAAATAAATCCATTAGATAGTGCTGTATTTCCAATATTATAAGTTAATAGTTTCAAAATAGAGATTGGAAAATTAAGCTGTCTTGAGAGACCTTAGTTATTGATTCTTGAGTAAATGATTAAAAAATATTAAGCAGAAAATGAAAACCTGTTGTTATCAACATATACACAGTATTATGTTATACAATAAAATAAGTGTTATGAAATGTGTGCTAAAATTATATACTAGGTGATAGCAGTTTATTCAGCATAAGATTTTTATTGAATTTATTTTCACAATAAATGGATTTCTTGTAGGGACAACAGACATTTATATATCCCTTTTGAAACAGTTTACATGTATATTTCCTTTAATTCTCAAATTTCAAAATAATGCCTTTAAAAAAGCATTGGCATTTTAAACTGTCACACTATTTTTTATTTTACATTTAAAATTAAAGATAAAGAAAAAATATTTACTTGTTGAAATTTAAGGCATGACTAAACCAAATCTGTTCACTATTTTCAAATTATATGGGGTCATCTGGATGGCAATTATATTTGTACCAGATCTAGTAAAGCACATGGTGTTACTGGAGAAATAATAGAAAGTACTTTCAGGGACATTTGAATTCATGCACTCAGAATTTGGGACGGAAAAGACCTTGCTCTTCATTACAGTCCTGTTATTCAGTTTTCTTGTCCCTGCTTTCAAAGGATGTTAATTCAGTTTTGGTGAACTGAGTGATTTCAGCTATTAAATGAAATGAATTTCTGAGAGATAATAACATCATTCAGATTTGGATAACAGATATGGGGAAACAGTCTGTATGAAGAAAATTCTCAAGTTGTATATTACATAGTTTGAATACTTGTTTGAATAGTTGTTTTTGAACAGAGAATGATGGCTTTACAAATTTTGGTCACACGGGCATACTTCAGAGATACTGCAGGTTTTTGTTGCACTGTATTCCAGACCACTGCAATAAAGTGAATATTGTAATAAATCAAGTCATACAATTTTTTTGGTTTTCTAGTGCATACAGAACTTATGTTTACACTATACTATAGTCTATTAAGTGTGAAATAGCTTTATGTCTAAAAAACAATGTACATACCTTAATTTAAAAATAAATTGCTAATCCCAGCACTTTGGGAGGCTGAGGCAGGCAGATCACCAGAAGTCAGGAGTTCAAGACCAGCCTGGTCAACATGGTGAAACCCTGTCTCTATTAAAAATACAAAAAAAAAAATTAGCTGGATGTGGTGGCGGGCACCTCCCTATAGTCCCAGCTACTCGGGAGGCTGAGGCAGGAGAATTGACTGAGCCCAGGAGGCAGAAGCTGCAGCAAGCAAGATTGCGCCACTGCACTCCAGCCTGGGTGGCAGAGTGAAACTTCATCCCTAAATAAATTAATCAATAAAAAAGCTGCTAATGATCATCTGAACCTTCAGCAAGTTGTCCAGGTAAAGGGTCTTGCCTTTGATTACACCACTTATAAATATTTTGCAACCCAGGGTAGCTTAGGCATAGAAGATGTTGACGGCTGCTGACAGATCAAGGTGGTGGTTGCTGACGATTGAGATGGCTATGGCTGTTTCTTAAAATAAGATAACAGTGAAGTTTCCTGCATTGATTGATTCTTTCTTTAATGAAAGATTCCTCTGTAGCATGTGATACTGTTTGATAGCATTTTACCCACAGTAGAACTTTCAAAATTAGAGTCAGTCCTCTCAAACCCTGCCACTGCTTTAGCAACTAAATTTGTGTCATATTCTAAACCCTTTGTTGTCATTTCAACAGTGTTTACACTATCTTCACCATTAGGAGATTCCATTTCAGGAAACCACTCTGTTTGCTCATTTAAGAAGCAACTCCTCATCCTTACAGTGTTATGAGATTACAATAATTCATTCACATCTTCAGGCTCCACTTCTAATTCTAGCTATCTTGCCATTTCCATCACATCTGCAGTTACTCCCTCTACTAAAGTCTTGAGCCCACCTGAGTCTCCCATGAGGGTTGAAATAAACTTCTTCCAAAGTTCTATTAATGATGATATTTTAACCTCCTCCCATAAATCAGAATGTTTCTAATGGCATCCGAAGTAGTTAATCCATTCCAGAAGATTTACATTTTATTTGCCCAAACTCATCAGAGGAATCACTATGGCAGCTAGAGCCTTAGGAAACATATCTTTTAAATAAGGCTTGAAAGTTGAAATGACTCTTTGCTTCATGGGCTGCAGAATAGATGCTGTGTTAGCAGGCATGAAAGCAACATTAATCACCTCATCCATCTTCACCAGAGTACTTGTGTGACCAAGCACATTGTCAATGAGCAATAAGATTTTGAAAAGAATCTTTTTGTCTGAGCAGTAGGTCTTAAGAATGGGCTTAAACTATCCAGTCAATCTTGCTAAAACAAATGTGCTGTCATCCAGGCTTTGTTGTTACATTTGTAGATCACATGCAGAGTCAATTAAGTGTAATTCTTATAGGACCTAGGATTTTTAAAATGATCAGTGAATATTGCCTTCAATTTAGTCACTGGTTGTGTTAGTTCCTAACAAGAGAGTCAACCTGTCCTTTGATGTTTTGAAGCCAGGCGTTGACTTCCCTCTAACTGGGAAAGTCCTAGATGGCATCTTCTTCCAATAGAAGGCTTTTTCATCTGCACTGAAATTTTTTGTTTAGTGCAGCCACCTTCATCAGTTATCATAGCTAAATCTTGCACTTTCTACATCAGCATTGCTGTTTTATCTTGTACTTTTATTTTATGGAGACGGGTTTTTTTCCTTAAGCCTCATAAACCAACCTTTGCTTGTTCAGACTTTTCTTCTGCAGTTTTCTCACTTATCTCAGCCTTCATAAAATTGAAGAGAGGATCTTGCTCTGGATTAGGCTTTGACTTAAAGAAATGTGGCTGGTTTGAGCTTCCATTCAGAACATTAAAACTATCTGCATATCAGCAAAGGTTGTTTCACTTTTAATTTTCTTTGATAATTTTGCTTTTGCATTCCTATCTGCTAGGCAGGCATAAGAGGCCTAGCTTTTGACATGCCTTCTTCACTAAGCTTAAACATTTCTAGCCTTTGACTTAAAGTGAGAGATGAACAACTCTTTTAATTGAACACTTAGAGGCCCTTGTAAACTTATTAATTTTCCTAATTTTAATATTGTTATGTCTCCGGGAATTTGGAGGCCTAATGGGAGAGAGAGAGATGGGAGAGTGGCTGATTGGTGGAGCAGTTAGAAGAATACACACATTTATCCATTAAGTTTCCCATCTTATTGGACATGGTTCAAGGCACCTAAAGCAATTACAATAGTAATATCAGAGATTACTGATCACAGGTCACCATAACAGATATACTAATAATGAAAAAGCTTAAAATATTATGAAAAATTACCAAAATGTGACACAAAGACATGAAGTGACCACATGCTATTGGAAAAATGGCACTGATAGACTTGCTTGATGCAGGGTTGCCACAAACCTTCAATTTGTAAAAGACATTATCTGCAAAGCATGGTAAAGGGCAATGAAACATGGTTTGCCCGTGTATCTTACTGTCAGTCATACTGAAGTCTTCAGTTAAACTAATAAACTAACAGCTTTTAAAAACTGCATTCTAGAAACAACAGTATACATTAGCAACACACCTTTTCAGTGTTTTCAGCATTCTCTTTTGTGAGTAGTTCATTCATAAGTAGATATCTATGTCAGTTTCATAGAGGTTGGTGAGCTTAGTAGAAAAGAGGAGTAATTTGGCTCAATCTTTCTATAGCAGTACTAGAAATATTCAGTAGTCTGAGGTAGAGCTAAAATATAGGAAACACTTATTTCTAACATGGCCTTTTTCATTCTGTGGAGTCTTTTAGGAACCCCTGCTTATGTTGAAAGATAACATGATTTATTTTAGTGTGACTTAGTAATATCAGATTAGTTGTATTTAATACTATGTGGTTTTTTGTCGATGGAAGGTTGAACTTATTAATATATTTAGTATATTAACAGGAAAATGACATTGTTACAACTGGAATAGTACATTGCTTAATTATGTCCAAAGTGAGATTTTCAGAAAGGTTTATATTTAACAATTTTAGGACTTTTGTTATTTAATTTGATTACACCACTTTTAAATATTTTGCAACCCAGGGTAGCTTAGGCATAGAAGTAAAACCAAAAATGGAATATTCCTTTGTAGCAGCACTATGACTGAAAATGTTAAAATTGATAACTACAAAGAGTTCTCAAATACTAGTTATGGATATTTTTGCTGAAATTCATGGGAAAGAAAACAAACAATAGATAAATAACTCAAAATATTCTAAAATTTGGCAGAACATTTTCTTGCTGGTACTTCTCTCCCTTTCCTTTTAAGATGTAGTTGCTTCTTTTTGGTATTTTCTTGTTGATAATTCATGATGTTAATGCTTTATATAATTTTAAGTTGTGTGTGTCTCTGTCAGTAATATTTCTCACATGCCAGTTTTGCTGTTTATGGAGAGTCCAGTAGCTTCTTTTACAACATACCGTTTAAATTATTTGTTAAAAAATAATATCTTTTATTTATAAATAGCAATTTTCACTTGGTATGTCTGTCTTAGTAAATTTAGCAAGTATACTAATAGTATGAATTTTTTTTCAGTGTACTCGTGTAATGTGGACACCACCTCTCCGTGAAAGCTTCTCATATCCATTCCTTGTTCTTCAGATGTTGCTTGTGACTCATATTCTCAGGTAACTTTGACTTAACCTTATTTCTTTTTGCATTAAATAATTTCAACTAGAATATCTTAAGCTTCCATAATAAAGTCAACATAATAAAATAATTAGCCAATATGATCCTGTTATTAGTAGAGATAATTTAAGAGTATAACTTACCAAAAACATTTCCTCTATCAGCCTTCTGTTCCTCTTCCTTTTTCTTGGTGGTCCACAGTGACTGCTTGAGAAACAGCAAATTTGCTTTCACTTCTCCTTTCATTTCCACTTTCTCAAGTCTTCTGTTACCACTATAGCCTCCTGAAAATGAGCAGAAAGAAGGTGAAGGCTGGTCATGCTACAGTGTATCCTGTAAGGTACAATCCTTTGGGGCAAAGGATAATTCATAGAATTCACACGTCCCTCCATTTCTGTTAACAAACACTGAATATAGCTGCCTTGCTCCAGAGGGTAAAAATGAAACAAAATGGGGCCTACAGAAAAATGGAATAAAGCATGATAAAAATCTGAAGATGACTCAGACTGATAACTCCCTTCAGTGATCCTCTGAATTTAGAAGAACTTTGTGGAAGTCTGTTATGCCAAACCCTTTGGGCAATCTATTTCCCTCTGATTATTACAACAAGCATAGAACCATCACATGGCTTTTAGTCTCCAATGTAATAGTGTCTTTAGACAGACCTTTTATAGATCATGGGATGGGTAATGTTTTTGCATTAGCTTTTTAAAGTCTGTGTAGCTCCAACTTTATTGCTGTCCCCTAAATTCCTCTTTACAGGGTTTAAAGCATCTTTAGCACCTTCAATTAAGGTGAACCTCTATGAATTCATAACCTTAAGCTCTGCCCTGTTGGTTCTGAGGCACCTTAAGCAACGGTCCCGTCGCAAACATTTCCGTAAGAAGTGTTGTGCTATGAGAGTCTTTGATTCACCACTACAGATGCTATTTTCCCACATTCACATTCTTGACCTTGGCTTTTTTCTCCATCGTAGTACAGACAGCATACTGCCCTCAGTGTCTAGTTCCTTCCTGCTTTTCTATCTCTGCCCCTGTCTTAAATACAGTGAAAGCAAACCTTTGATTCTTCATTCACTCACTGATCTGATCTGTCGCCGAGTAGCCATGGGGATGCCGCTCCGGGGTCTGAGTGCTGCTTCCTTTAGTCCTTCTGTACCATAGAAGGTAGAGTTAGTTTTCTGTTGCTGTGTAAACCAGTCACCACAAACTTGGATCTATTATCTTGGAGTTCTCTAGCTCCAAAGTTTTAAAATCAAGGTGTTGGAGGTGGTACATTCTTCCTGAAGGTGCAGAGTGGGAGGGGAGAAAATCACTTTTCTTGCCTTTTCTAGCTTCTGGAGGCTGCCTGTATTTCTTGGGGGGCTGCCTGCATTTCTTGCCTTGTGGCTCCTTCGTCTTCAAAACCAGCAGTGGTGGATTGAGTCCTTATTTGTCAGTTTACTCCAACCTTCTTTTCAGCCTCTCTTCCACTTTTAAGTACCCTGTGGTTACATTGGGCCCACCTGGATAATCCAGGCTGTGCTCCCTACTGTGAGGCTGGGTGATTAGTCATCTTCATGCCATCTGCAGCCCTAGTTCCCCTTTGCCATGCAACATGACGTGTTCACAGGTTACAGGGATGAGAACATAGATATTTTTGGAGGCCATTATTTTGCCAGCCAGGATGGGGCCTCTCCAGTTGCTGTTTCCTGCCTTCAGGGCTGTCTTCTGTTGGGTTCTTCTCTGTTTTTGACTCCAGGTGCTTCTGTGGCAAGCTCTTTATTTTCTTTAGCCTCTTATTGTCATTTTCAGCCTTACCCACCTCTTCATACCTATCTTTACTTCCTGCTGAAAAGTTTTAGAGAACATTCCTTTCTTTAGATCCTTCTTCACTGTCTCTGTTTATATTCTGATTGACATTTCCCTTCTCATATTCCTGGCCATCGGAAGCCGAAGCAGCTACTGCTTTTACCACTGCTGGTTCAGATCCATCCCATCTTGATCTTCCTTGCCATCTTCATCGGCACCTCATCACTTCTGATTGCAATGGCTTTCCTGGTTATGCTCCTTGGTTGGCATGGCTCCTTGCTTGCCTGGTGTGGCTGTGACTTGTTGCTTGAAAGGGTGGATTTTCATTTTGCTTTCTTGGAAAACTGCTTTCTTGGAAACTTTCTTGGAAAATCACATCCTTTTTTCTTGATGTTTTGGCAGACATCTTTTTTCTGAAGGATAACAACCTTCTCTCTTTTGGCCATCTTCATCTTCTGATATTTCATCCTTATTACTGACATTGTCTTCTTTGGAAGAGCAGCCATTTCCTTTAGTTCTTGGTTTCTACCTGTAGTTGGCACATTGTGACATTAGAGGGAGGTGGTGGGTGGTGATGGCTTGGGTGAGCCAAGAAGAAGCTGAGCAGTGTTGATACAGGCTGCAGTGCTGAGGATACTGTTATAAAACCAGAAAGAGACTATTTCTTAATGCTAGGAATCATTTACAAATGAGGTTAGTGGTATGTTTTAACAAATTGGTTTTGTCCAATTTTGAATTTTAAGCATTTTTAGAAATTCAGTTTATATAGTCACCTAATGCTAGCCCAGCTTCGCTTTGTCTTGATTGTTCTTGGCAATATTTATGTTTCCATTTCTGTTGTTTGGGTCAGAGCTGTTTTGATCACCGATGGGATTTTCTTTGTTTTCTATTCATTCCTATCTCCCCACAGTACATTCTTTACCCAACTGCCAGATTGGTATTAAATTCTGCTCAGAAATCTTAATGTCTCCTGTTACCCCAAAAATGAAAATCATATTTAGTATTCAAAAGCAGTAGAAATATGCTTTATTTTAGACAGTGACTTTCAAACTTTTGGACTATGATCTGTAAGAAATAAGAAATTTTACACTGTGGCTTACTGTACATATACATGTATGCACACAACAAACAAAAGTTTCACAGAATAGAGCCCCTTGTAAGTAGGATATAGTCATATACATTCTGTTTCACTCTGCTAATCTGCATTTTTAAATGCTGAGTTTTATTCCGTAAGTCGATTTTGTAACTCATTAAAAGGCTATCTGGAGTTTAAAAATACTTTTGTTGGATTAAAATAGCAGACAGGGATGTCCTTTGGAGAAGGGATGCTTGTGGAAGTGGAGAAAGGCATTTCATGATGGTGCTCTATGCTCCAGATAGGTTTACGTAACCAGGATGTCTTTCTCCAAGTTGCATACACTTCATCTCCTCAGTATATTAGCATGCACACTCCACTTTTGTGAAGATGGACATGTGTGAGGGCTTTGCATTGGCTCACATATTTAGAGGATAAAATCATCTCACTCTCCTAAAAAGTCTAAATTACAAGTCAGTACCAAAGTGAGGTCTCTGAAGATTGCTCCAGAATGGCCCCTGTATCTTTTTCTCCCCTTAACTTTTCTGTCTTCTGCATGTGCCAGACCCAACTTTTTATCTCACATGCTTATAAAATCTCTCCCAGACACTTAGCTCTTATTCCTCATTCTTGCGGTAGTTGGCTGCATAATGCTTTGCGCTTACAATATGCTATTATTTTTTCATAGGCATCTTCTGCCTTTCTAACTAATGAATATATTGAATCAGTATTTTTAAATGTTTAGTCATGGATTCACCAAAATAAAATTTGAAAAAACTTCCCATAGATATACTGAGCCAGCCACCCTCCCCACTCTGTGTTATTAGCAATAATGGGTATTTACCTTTCAAAGAAAATTGTTGTAATTGAGCATCAGGAGGTACAATTTCTAACCCATTGGTTCATTTTATGTTTAGGTTATGTTATAACCAGATTATATATATTTAGAGATCCTGGTTTGCAGCAGTTTGGAGCCATGCTAGAGTTGTATTTAAACTTACTTATTTTATCTTTTCAAGGGCTACAAAACTTTATAGAGGAAGCTTGATTGCACTCTGTATTTCCAATGTATTTTTCATGCTTCCTTGGCAGTTTGCTCAGTTTGTACTTCTTACTCAGGTAGGTGATTATATTTTAAGCTGTTTTAAGCTTAGTATATTTGACTATATGAACTCATTTGCATAAAATTATAATGGAGATGTTCTATGATTCTAACTCCTAAAACATTTTCTAGGAAAACTGTTCTCCTAAAATATTTTTTAGAAATGTTGAACAAAAGAAAGTTCAGGACAGAGAAATATGTCAGATTATTTATTAATGATTGTTCATTATTTACTTCCTAACATATTGCGTTTATTGAATTCAAATTTGTAAGAATGATTATCTTTGTTATTCAGTATTGTTAGTGTGCTTAAAAGAGGACTAGTACTGCAACTTTAAGCATTTCTCTTAGCTGTAGTATTTCTCTTAAGTAAAATGTTTCTTTTATGAATAGTTGTGTACATTCTTGCACGTAGAATATTGACAAATAGGATTACAGGATACATAGCTAATCAGTTCATGTCTTACAAAATTCTCTGTACCAGTCTAGAAATTTATCTATTGTCTTTCCATGTATCCTTTCCCACTGTAAATGGAAGTAGCTTGTTGAGAGAGGGAGTAAATTGCATATTCATTTTTTTTCTCTGCCTACTATTTTTTTTATTGTATTAGTCATATTTGTATAAAGCAGTTGAAGAGTTCCTTTTTAATGAAACTCTTGCTTGGGAAATGAAGTTAGACTTGGATTTGAGTCCTAATTCTATTCACTAGCCTCTTAACTTGGTTAAAATACTTAGCTTTTCTTAGTTTAGAATCTAAACTAAGATTCTTAGTATCTTATCTCTGAAATAGAGATAAGAAAAGAACCTACTTTATTGGATTGTGGATAGGACTAGATGAAGTAATGTATATGATTCTTAACACAGTTCCTGGTACTTAGTGAGGTATCAGTAAGGTTAGTTGGTCTTATCATTATTTTTAAAAATAGGCTCTATTTGTACTTTTTACTTTGATCTTATCTTGTTGACACCTTTGTCTAACTTAGTTTGATGACATTTTCAATCAGTTTCTGTTTAAGATTGTCTCTGAGATTCTCTGTTTAAAATTCAACCCTGTAAATGTACTGTGTGTTGCTTATCCCTTGGGATGGAAAGGGAGCATTCTCATTGCTTCCTGATAGTGGAGACTGCCTGGTTTTTTGTGGAGATGAGGGTCAGTGGAGGTTTTTGCCTCCTTGTGGGGCTTATGTTGAATAATGACACACACTTCCCCACAGGTGTTGTGTCATCTCAGTCACCGTAAGCAATGCAGTATTCTCCATGGGTAACTCTGAGTAAAGGGAAACTTTGTTGTGTTTCTCACTAATGGAAAAATTTGTTATAGATTGCTTAGAGATAAAAAACCTGATGAATGAAACAAGTTATATGATTAAGTATTCAACTACTTTGCAATTTGTTTATGCTGTTTTTAATAGTAGGAGAGGAAGAATTTAATTTTAATTGCTTTCTCTATGATGAAGCGTGTAGAGGCATTGTCTGACATAATACCTGTATATAAGATACTGTATCATCATTTAATCAATTAATTCAGCTAAATAATTCCAGTACTCTTAGAATTACTGATATGTAACATACAGTTTTCTTCTAAATGGAAAAGAAAGTTAAAAATACCTTTGTAGCAAAAGTACTCTTAATTTGAAATTGATAAATTTGATTACAACTAACTCTTGAATATTTGTATTAAGGAAAGAACGCTAATGGAGATAGTTGTAAAGAGTGACTAGCAAGCAGAAATTAACGTATTTTTATGCACACCTGCATTGCATAATTATTTTTCAGTTTAATGTACCTTCCCCAATTATGTATTAGTTGCCATGTTATAATTACATTTTTGTCTTTTCTGATTGGACAAGGTACTTTTTAATTGTATATGTTGACAGTTAGGGTTGACCTGAAATTAAAATGAGTATTGTTTTGGATAATCAATGAAGTAGACAATTTACATGATTGAGAGACCTGTGTATCGGAGAAAAAAAATCAACCAATATTTTCTATATTAACATTTTGACTATATTCATATTCTTCATTCTTGTAGGTATTTTATCTTTTTTACTTTTAATTTCTTTTTAAATTTCAGATTGCGTCATTGTTTGCGGTATATGTTGTTGGGTACATTGATATATGTAAATTACGGAAGATCATTTATATACACATGGTAATTACTTTTTATTCTTTTCTATTTAGTTTATCTTTAAACTCCAGATTAATATTTGATTTGTTCATGGTTGGAACTAGTTGTAACAATTTCATAACTAAAATAGATGTCATTCAAACATTGTGATATAATTGGCCAACTTTGTTTTAATAGACCGCTCACAAAAATTTAATTTGGGTCATATTATCTGATTGAAGTTGTGCCCAACTTATGCATTATCAGTAAAAGAAATAATTTATGAAACAGAAACATGGGACTGATATATTATCCAGGAGCTGTTTGTTAAAATGAAGTGGAAAGGCCCGACATGGTGGCTCACACCTGTAATCCTAACACTTTTGAGAGGCCAAGGTGGGCTTCACTTGAAGCCAGGAGTTTGAAACCAGCCTGGGCAACAGAGCTAGACCTCATATCTACAAAAATAAAATAAAATTAGCCTAGAATGGTGACGCATGGCTATAGCACCAGCTGCTTAACTCAGGAAGCTGATGTGGGAGGATCACATTAGCCCAGGAGGTTGAGACTGCAGTGAGCTATGATGCTACTGCACTCCAACTTGGGCAACATAACAAGACCATGTCTTCACAAAAAAGAAAAAGAGTTCATTTACTGAGCATCGACTATGTAGGCATGTGAGACACACCAGCATTCATATCACTTACATTCTAGCAGAGTGGGGAAGGAGGGAAGACAGAAGATAAATAATAAACATAGTAAATGGGTAAATTATGTAGGATGTTAGAAGGTGATAAGGATTTTAGGCCAGGCATGGTGGCCTGGGGAGGCTGAGGCAAGAGGACATTTGAGCTCAATAGTTTAAGACCAGCCTGGGCAACATAGTGGGACCCCATTTCTATAAAAAAAATACAAAAAAAGATTTTAGAAGAAAGGAAAGGTCAGGGTAAGGCAGATGAGGAGAACCAAGATCCAGGGTAGGACATGGAAAAATCAAATGAGGTGATCACAGCAGTTCTTCTTGAGAAGGGGGAGTAGAACAAAGATTGGAAGGAGGAGAAGGAGTTAGCCAAGTAGATATCAAATAAATTAATCTCTCGGTTGATGGAACAGCTAGAACAAAGACCCTAAAGCTGGGTGGTTAATGTCCATGAATGTTTATGGTTTAAAAATAAGCATTTGTCTTCTGTCTCATTGGTTTTTATAATTTTGATGTTTTCTTTTTCTGATAATTTTACAGTTGTCATAATATAACATTATTTTCATTCTCTTAATAATTTATACATATAAAAGGACATTTATAATGTGTAAGGAAGTTATAAACACAGTTATAAACAACTGGAAGCCTACTCTCCAAATGGAAAATAGAACCTTATCATTATTTTTAAGTCCTGTATGCCCTGAGCTCATCCCCTCACTGCTCCTAGAGGTAACCACTATTCTGAATTTTTGAATTGTAATCAATTTACATTTCTTTATAACTTTGCCATATATAGATTACTAAATAGTATATATTTTTATTATGAAATGTTCACATTCCTTGTAAGGTTTATAAAAATGGTATTCTTTTATAAGTACTATTTTTTATTCAGATTTCTGCTCTTTGTATGTAACTAGAATTCATATATTTTCACTGCTTTATATTTCCCTCATATAAATAAAGCATAATTCATTTATTCATTTTTTTGTGGAAGGACGTTTAGGTTCTCCCCTGTCCCCCCAACTTCTTTTTTAGTTATAAATCATGCTGTACATTCTTATCTCTTGGGGCACATATGTTGAAAGTTTCTCTAGGGTATTTACCTAGTAGTAGACTTGCTGGGTGGTAAATTATGTACATGTTCAACCTTACAAATACCAAATTGTTCTTCCAAAATGACTGGACTACTTCCAACAGCAATATATAGCAGCTTATGTTATTCTACATCCTTTTTTATTTTATCAATCTGGTTGGTGTAAAATGGTATCTTGTGACCTTAATTTGCATTTTCTCTGATTCATAATGAAGCTGAGCATCTTTTGGTGTGTTTATACGCCCTTCATGTTTCCATTTTTGTAAATTTCTATTCAAATCTTTTACCAGTTTGTCTTGTGTCCAAATGAAAATGACATCTATTTTAGTCAATGCAGTGTAATCCATTATTTTTGTTATTTATGTTGATGCTCAAATTGTTCCATATTTGTTCAACTATTCAAGCTGACTTCCCTTTCCTTTTAACATGTCCTCATTATACATTGAGCACTTTTAAAAAGAAATTAATAAATGTTAAGTTTCATGAAATGATTTTCTACATCTGTTTAGATGATTCTGTGTATTTCCCCATCTTTAATCTGTTACTGTGATGAATTAACATTGATTTTCTAACATTAAAAAAACTTTATTTTTTGGATTAAACACAATTTTTGCATGTTGCTGGAATGTCTGCTGTTATTTTGATAGGATTTTTACATCCTCATTCATGAATGAGTTAGACAGTAATTATATATTTTTTAAACTTGACTTATTTTTCCCAAACTATTTAAAATAGTTTTTTATTTTGTAGTATAAATCAGATTAGATGTTAAGCCTTCAGAGTTGGCCAGTCACATAGTCACATAGGCAACTATGGCTGGGGGCCTTGATTCAAAGTTATAGTTATAAATTATAAAATTACACAGTATAGTTTGAAGTAAAACCTACCTATACTTTGTTATGTGACTTGCTATTTTCTTCTTCCATTATCACTTTACAAATTCCTAAATTCTTATAAATGGCAAAAAACACAGAATTGTTAGCAAAAAATTATTTTTCCCTTTTTTATTGTGGTAAAACACATGTAACTTAAAATTTACCACCTTAAGCATTTTAAAATATACTAAAAGCATTTTAGTTCAGTGATACTAAGTACATTCACATTGTTTTACACCCATCGCCACCATCTATTTCCAGAACATTTTTCATCTTGTAAAACTGAAACTCTATACGCATAAAAGTCCTTATTCTTCCATCGTCCCAGCCCCTGGAAACCACCATTCTACTTTCTGTCTTTATGATTTTGACTACCTTATGTATGCATGTAAATGAAATCATACATTATTTGTCTTTTTGTGACTGGGTTATTTCAATTATCCTAATGTCCTCAAGTTTCTTCTATGTTGAAGCATGTCAGAATTTCCTTCCTTTTTAAGGCTAAATAATATTCCATTATGTGCATGTTTGCGTGCACGCATACACACACACACACACACACACACACACACACACACACACGGTTTTGCTTGTGAATTCAGTCTGTCCATGGATACTTGTTTTAGCTACAGTAAATAATGCCGCTATGAACATAGGAAAACAAATATTTTTTAAGATCTTGTTTTCAGTTATTTTGAGTATGTGGCCAGAAGTGGAATTGCTGAATTGATCATATGGTAAATCTATTTTTAACTTTTTAAGAAACTGCCAAACTTTTCCATAGCAGCTGTACATTTTACATTCCTATGAACAGTGCACGAACTTTCATTTTCTCCATGTAATCACTAACATTTATTTTCTGCTTTTGTGATGGTAGCCATTCTAATGGATCTGAGGTGATATCTCACTGTTGCTTTTGTTTCTTAATTAAAAATCTTTATATTTTAGAGACATTTTGGTGTTTTTTTTTTTTTGTTTTTTGTTTTTTTTTTTTAAGATTGCTCTCATTCTGTCGCCCAGTCTGAAGTGCAGTGGCACAATCTCGGCTCACTGTAACCTCTGCCTCCTGGGTTCAAGCGATTCTCCTGCCTCAGGCTTCCAAGTAGCTGGGATTACTGGCATGTGCCCCCACACCCAGCTAATTTTTGTGCTTTTAATAGAGACGGGTTTCACCCTGTTGGCAGGCTGGTCTCAAACTCCTGACCTCAGGTGATCTGCCCTCCTTGGCCTACCAAAGTGGTGGTATTACAGGCATGATCCACCGTGCCCAGCCAGGTTTGTAGCAAAATTGAGCAGAAAGTACAGAGTTCCCATATACCCCTTGCTCCCACTCATGTACAACCTCCACCTCTGTTGACATCCCTCACCAGAGCGGTACATTTGTTACAATTGATAAACTTCATCACACATTATAATCACCCAAAGTCTGTAGTTTACATTAGGTCTCACTTTTCTGTGGGTGGTTGTTGTGGGTTTGTTTGTTTGTTTTTTGAGACAGGGTCTTGCTCTGTTGCCCAGGCTGGAGTTTAGTGGTGCAAACGTGGCTCACCACAGCCTTGACCTCCTGGGCTCAAGGGATCCTTCTGCCTTGGCCTCCCAAAGTGCTAGGATTGCAAATGTGAGCCACCACAATCGGCTTGGGTTCTGACAAATGTATAGCGACATGTGTCAACCATGCAGTATCTTGTAGGACAGTTTCACAGCTATAAAATTTCTCTGTGGTCCACCTATTCATCCCTCCTTCCCCCTAATCTATGGTAACTACCGATTTTTTTACTATCTCTGTAGTTTTACCTTTTGTATAGTGTCATGTGTTGGAACCAGACAGTATGTAGCCTTTTCATATTGACTTCTTTCACTTAGTGAAAAGCAATTAAGTTTCCTCTAAGTCTTTTCATGGCTTGATAGCTCATTTCAGTTTTAATTATGATTAACATTTTAACATTATATGGATGTACCACTGTTTATTTATTCGCCTATTGAAGGACATGTTAACTCCAAGTTTGGGCAGTTATTAATAAACCTGCTGTAAACATCCGTGTACAAATTTTGCATGAATGTTTTCAGTTCATTTGAGTAAATCTCAAGGAAAGTGATATTTGGATGGTATGGTAAGAGCATGCTTAGTTTTTAGGAAATTGCCAGCCTGTCTTCCGAAGTGGCCGTACCATTTTGCATTACCACCAGGAATAAATGAGAGTTCCTGCTGCTCTTCATCCTTGTCAGCATTTGGTGTAGTCATGGTGGATTTTGGCCATTCTAATAGATGTGTGATGGTATTTCATTGTTTTAATTTGGTTGAACATATTTTAATGTGCTTTTTTGCCATCTGTGTATCTTCTTTGGTGAAGTGTCTATTAAGATCTTTTGCTCATTT